GATCGCTGGAGCAATTGTTGAATTTCCTAAAAAACCTGTTGTTAACAGATATACTAAAATTGTTAGTAGCATTACAAAAGTTGTTAACCATTATATTGAAGATGTAAAATTTTTTTAAAAAATTGTTTCCAATCACCGAAGCTCCGACAACCAATTGTTGAATTTCCTCAAAAACCTATTGTTAACTAATATACTGAAGTTGTTAATAGCGTTACAAGAGTTGTTACTTGATATACTAAAGTTGTAAAAATTTTCAAAAAAACTGTTTCCGGCCACCGGAGCTTATTGAATCTTCCAAAAAAACCTATTGTTAATTGTTATACTAAAGTTGTTAATAGCGTTACAAAAGTGGTTAACCGTTATACTGAAATTGTAAAAATTTTCAAAAAAGTTATTTCCGATGGCCGAAGCTCCGATGGCCAACCAGTGAGAGCTTTAGTATTTTAAAAACAATAAATAAAATGAAAGGCAATTTGGTCTTTTCATTTGCCAAGATAATGCCAATTTGGTCTTATATGACCAAAATGGGATTATCCAAGTTTGGCCGACGTTTTGGTTATCCCAAGTTAACATGTCATTTTTTTTTTTTGGTCTTTTTCTCTTATTTCAATGTGTCTGTTTGGTATGGCGATCTGAGTATGAAAAGTGGCTTTTGGGTTTATAAGCACGTGCGGAGAAAATGAGCATTGTTTGGATTAGCTTTTTACACATCAAACTTATGGCAAAAAATTTGCTTGTAATCGTGCGATTATGTGACGTTATTTCTTACTGCTTTTTACCTTTTTCATCGTGCTTTTGTGCCAGATTTTTTATCTTCTCCCTTATTTTGTCGTGGCTTGCTTTTCCCAACTGGCTAGTCTTCTCTTATATATACATATATACGCTCGTTTAACGTAGTTTTTTTTATATAATATTTCTAATTTTTAAAACTATTTTTTATTTTATATTTACATAAATTGTACACAAGTATATCATTTAATTAATTATGTAATATTATTTGATTCAAAAAATTTTACAGATTTCTGATATAAATATATTTTATTCATTAAATTTGACTTTTTCCTATTAAAATAATTAAAAATTATTATATTATGTAAATTGATTTTTTTTCATTTTTTATTATTTAATAAAAGTCATATTTAGGAGGTGTTTGGCAACCTCCAAACCATGGTTTTAGAACCACTTTTTCGCAAAACGAAACAAACTCCTCCACATATTTACTTCGTAAACAGTAAAAGTATTTCTGAAACCATGGTTTGGTTTCTATTCAAACACCCTTTATTTTATTAACTTTATAAAGTAAACTTGTTTATTCAATCATAATCCAAACAACTTCTATTTTTTCAAATTAACTTATTTATAAAAAGTCAATCCAAATATAAATTATATTAACCAATCTAACTCTTACCTGATCTAAATTTTTTAAGAGTCAAATTAAAAATAACCTATTTTTCCTACTGTTAATCTAAATGAACCCAATATGTACAACTATACAAGAATTGTTTTAGAAAAAATGAATAAAAATAGGAGAAAAAATATTTAAATGGTTCAACTCTATGAAACAAGCCACATTCTCTCCAGTCGATGGTGAAGTGGTTCAATCATTCAAATCCAATTTTGGCTTTCAAAAGGTTGGATCTTACTTTGTGTTAGCATATGTAGTGTGGACCAATCCCCATGTGATAAAATTATACATATGCGTGTGGGTGGGTGCACACAATCACTGGGTTAAACCTGTGATCTCATTTCCTTTCAGAGATCAGGGGACTAGTGCCACTAAACTCGAGGATTTATGGCTTTAACTCACAAGTTGTGTCTGCAATTGGCAGCGCCACTACTGAAACTTCACCTGCATATATTTTTTCATACAAGTCACTTCGATATTTGTCTGCCTTAACTTCTCGTTCTTTATTTTTTTTTATTTTTGCATGTATCGAAGTATAATTATAGTATATAAAAATTTGAGCCAATTTTAATTTGAGCCCCTCAAATTTTAAACCTGTGCTTTTAGTCCTTAGAATTTAGTTTGTCTTAAAACATTAGTCCTAGAAGGTGGAACATTGTTAAAATATGCTGAAATGTCATCAATGACATTAAAGGTGATAATGTGAACTCACCAAATGACATCTAACTAGATAATGTGTAAATAACAGAATATAGGGTAGGGAATAGCTCCTGAAACGCATAGGGAAGAACACTACTACAAAAATTTAAATACTTGACGGTTATAAACTGTCAAATATGAAGGAGTCAAATACTTATATAGATAATATTTGATGGTTAGCAACAGTCAAATATTTGAGATAATACTTGGCAGTTTTAAGAAAAGACCATTAAGTATTATGGCCACATATTTATAGTCTCTGGCAACATTTACTTAACCGTTATTCATAATAACCATCAAGTATATATTACCGTACTTGACAATTTTGATCAATAACTGTCAAGTTTTTTGTTATATATACTCAATAGTTATTTGTCATGGCCATAAGTATTGTGAATATTTGATGGTTATTAGTTATAGCCGTCAAATATGTTCAAAATACATAACGGTTATAATCAATAACTGTCAAGTATTGCAAATATTGTTTTTTTAAAATGGGTGGCTACTTTTCTAGCAGCTCTCATGCATTTTGAAAACAAAAGGCAGCAACAGAATCAAAAATATATATATATATATCTCTCTCTATCCAGCCAGCAAATTAGGAATAGAAATTGATATTATATTTTAAGAAACCAAAAGTGATATACAATGTACTCTATACCAAAAGAAAAATTGGATAAGAGAAAGCAAAACAAAACTGACCAAGTACTAAACCAAAACCAAAACTGGCCATTTACAAAAACCATGACAAAATTATCTAAGTACCAAAACCAAAAGCACAAGACATTGAATTTTGACAAATATAGTAAAAAAATAACAAATACCAAAATCAATATTGTCTTTTTGTCTATCTTTTCTATGCCCACTAATAATACAATGCTAATGCCAACTCTTTCACCATTTCTTCCATCTGACTGGATGAAATTGCGTGCAATATGTATACACAAAGTACTAAATGCAAAAAACAAAGAAATTGATGAGATTAGATATACATGTATAATTAACCTAAGCATAAATTGAACAAATGCATGTTACTTAGTAGGAATTATGTCAACATTGTGCATGAGTATCTTTTTTCATGAATTTCATGACACAATATCCATAATCTGAGCTTTGGTTTAGTTGCAGTGAGCACTATAAAGAAAGGGGAAGGAAAATATATTAATGATATAATAATAAACTATATTTAGTTAAATAGTTAATGGTGATCAATGCCTTCATTTTTTTTCCACATGAACATAGAATCAAATACGTTGCCTTTGACCAAGGGGCATATTAAGCCTTGATTCGTGCAAAATAGCCACAAAACTATGAGAATACAATGAAATTAAATTTAATAATTTTCAAAAATTAGATAGAAAGAAGAAATTAAATTCAATGTGATAAAACATATTCAAGATATCTATTAAATGTTGATTGCATAAATAGTCAATTGGTCGAATCCCTATTAAGAGAATTGAAATACCAAATTCTTGGCTTGAAGGGATTTACCACAATTAGCATCCAATATTTCCCAAGTACAATAAAGAAAATAAGAACAACTAGAAACTATTATAAAATATAAAAATTTCAGAAAATTTAGTACACTTACCCTTGGCAATAAGGTGCCAAAAAGAAAGTGTCGTTATTCTTCACTGCCCTTGAAATGAAGATATCCTCCAAATCCCTCAATAAATCTTGCTTCATATCAGGGCCGTGGCCGGTAAACGTGTGGGGACTAATGAACCTGAACTTTTCATCAAGGCCGTTAGGGACTATGAAATTCTTGTAATGGTACTTAATAGCTTAAACAAGTATATCAATATAATAAATGTTCTAAGTAGTTAAGTATTTAATCATAGTTTGAGAAATATTTTATATAAAAGTTACAGATATTCATGCTAGCCATATCATGAGTCAGAATTTTTTTTTCCGGTACATCATTTGTGACATACTCAAATGTGGCTCTACCATAGACCCCATGAGCCCCAAAAAAACAGAGATCAAGCATGTCGATCATGGATTCGTGAACAGTGGAATAGCAAGCATAGAGGAGAAGAAACATGCAAATGAAGAAAGAAATGGGAACAACCAAATAACTATTGGAACAAGAAGAAACAAATGCGAACATGTAGAGCAGAGAGGTGCCTGGTTCACAACGAGTGGTAAAGAAGTCAAAACAAACCTTCGATGATGATGAGAAGTAGAGAAACATGAGGTGGTCGATGGTGGAAGGTGATAGACAAGCAACCACGAGCTAAAAATAGAAGAGGAGAGTGCAAAAATAGTGGTAACTAAGCTACTAGAACGGAGCCATCACTCTCTTAGAGCATGAAAGCAAACAGGTAACTAGATTCGAAAAGGGAAGTAGTTTATATTAGGGATTTATAACTGAACACTTGACAGTTTTTCCAAAAACAGTCAATTATTGTTTGAAAATACTTGATGGTTTTTGAAAAAAGAAAAACCATCAAGTACTGCTTCATGCATTTTCTCCTCACTTTTTTTTGACGGTTTTCCTCATAACTGTTGAATTTTGGGGATCAAAGTATTTATAATTCTGTAATAGTGGAAGTAAAAATGAGGGGCTAATTAGTTGCATTTTGAGGATCTATTGTTTTTTTCTCCTTTTGTTATTTACACAAGATATAGCTAGGTATTATATGATGAGTCCACTTTACCACTTCAATGTTATTAACGATATTTTATTAGATTTTAATACTATTACACCTACAGGACTAATGTTTCAAGACAGACTAAATTTCAAAGACGAAGACTATAATGAGTTTGAAATTTGGGCAGACTAAAACATAATAGGCTCAAATTTTAAGTACCAAAATCATATTAACCCATAAAATAATAAGAAAATAAGTGATATCTAAAAATTTAAAATAAAAAAACAAGAAGAAATGAGATGTTGTCGGAATGTATAAATTAATCACGAGAAGATATCATTCATTACAAATACACCCAAAAGTGAAACAGAAGCGCACAAAATATTTATTCACTTTCAAAGAAAGCCAATTTAGTTTGACAAATGAAAACCGACAAACAATTACAAGAACTAAAAGCAGGAAAAACAGAATTACAAAATTAAAACCCTTTCATATCCCGTGTAAATTATTTTTCCATTTGAGTGCAACTTCAGAGAGCGCCTTTATAGAAGAACCATCTTCTTTGAGTGCATTAGCAGAAGCATCCCTTAAATCCTTCATTCTCTTCCCAACCTCCTTACCTTCTTCACCTTCCATCAAACTCTTTATCAATTTAGCAATCTCCTCCCTTTCTACTGTGCCATTTTCATTAACTTTAGGCCTCAATGCAATCTTAAGACCATCAGTTAACAAAACAACATTCATTTTCTGCTCTGCAAAAAGTGGCCACGCTATTAATTAATGGCACTCCCTTCTAGACACTCTCAAGTGTGGAGTTCCAACCACAATGACTCAAAAAGCCACCAATGGAACTATGACTCAGGATTGACACTTGAGGTGCCCATGAGCAGATAACAAAGCCTTGCTCTTTGGTTCTCTCCAAGAAACCTTCTGGTAAGAAATCTAAAGGAGTCTCGTCTGTAGAACCAAGGTAAGCAGCATTCACTGAGTTACTTGGTGCTCTAAGAACCCATAAGAATTTCTAGCCACTCCTTTCCAAGCCAAAAGCCAGCTCATTGATTTGTTCTTGGGATAGGGTGCCACCACTTCCAAAAGAAACATATAAAATAGAGCTTGGTGGTTGATTCTCCAACTACTTTAAACACTCTGACCCGTTTTCTTCACCTGTTGGCCCGGTTTGAGTGATAGGTCCGATCAGATACACAGGTGGATAACCACTTTCTTTCTGTGTCAAGGCTCTCATGGTCGTTTCTTCCATCTCCGTGAAGCTGTTAACCAATAACCCATCAACAAATAACAAAGTCTTGCTTCGTTGGAGAAACATTGTGTAAGCTTCACTGGATCGAGTTTGAACCGGGTCTGGGAAATCTTCACCATAGAGTGGGAGACAACCTGGTATCTGAATAGGTTCTGCTACGTCTCTGAATTCACCAGAAATCTCATCGTGGAGGATCGAAAAATAGAGGCAGAAGGAAAGCGTTGAAGCAGCTGAATAGAAGTAAATGAAAGACAAAATATTTAGGTCCCTTGCGAAACTTAGTACCTCAGTTGCAAAAGGGTCTGCAACTACAGCAGCCAAACGATATTTGGAGTTCAAGGACTTCAATTCATGTTGTAAAGATGGCAAAGACTTGGCCACTATGAGTTGAATTTGGACTCCTAAATTAGCATCTTCGGGCAGGTCTTGTTTGTTGATTGGAGGAAGAAAAATGGATTGGATGTTTGAAGGAAGATTCTGAAGGCAGGCTATGGAGGCAGAAGGAGGAGATTCTAGTGAGGGGATGATGAAAGTGACATGAAAATCTGGGTTAAGATGAACAAGTCGCTTGGAGAACTCAAGAACAGGAATCAGATGGCTAAAGCCAGGACTAGGAACAACGGCTATGCGTGTTGTTTTCTCCATGGAAATTTGGAAACAAAGCCTTAAGATCGATGAAGACTTGGATTGACGTTTGTAAATTTGTTGATTTCTGGGTTTGATGTCTTTCAAGATTTGATGGGCTTATATAGAAAACTTGTTATCCAACACTAAGGTGTTTGAATTAGAAAATAGTTTTTAGAAAAAAATTTATTTTTTATAATAGATTTTATAAAAAGTAATTCTGATAAAGTGAGAATGCTTGGATAGTTATTATTAGAAGCACTTTTTATATGTACAAATTACTAAAAAAGATATAAGTTAATATGATAATTGTAACATCACCACTTACTAACCAGAGCTAACCATGATAGAAAAGATTAAAACTAGTAAACATACCCTATCATGGTTATTTAAGAGCAATCACATCATTAAAGGGCTAACCATGATAGAAAACATTCGACCTTAATTAAGACTATCATGGTTAGAAAAAGAATAACCTATAATTGTAATCATGGCAAACATGGTATAAAACAATATGCCTTTGAATGATAAATTATAATAGCAGTTTAGACTTGACTATCTTAGTCAACACTAGCAACAACTAAACTTGCCAAAATTGCCATTATCACATCGTGGATCCACAATAATTCAATCACATGCAATCTAAGGGTCTCAAGCCCACTACCAGCACCCTATTCCAATGTCCAAACAAAATAAACCAAACATAGAAAGTATAATACGTTTTTAGTCAAACGACATAAAAATATAAGAAGGTAAAATAAGTTCCAAATAAATGCAGTCCTGATGCGTGGCAATATACGAAAAGATTACATAAAATAAGGTCCAGAAGCTCTACACTGCCAGCTACAGTTATTGAGCCTCAGGAGTCTTCCCCGAAGGTCCCGCTAACGTATTGTTTCCTGAAAATGGTAAAGCAACAGGAGTGAGACAACGTCTCAGTAACTAAATCCCTACCTATCCCACACCCTAGCATGGGCTAGCGAGGTGTCAGGTGGGATACACAGAGTTAATAATAGTTGATAAACATTTATTTAACATTTAAACTCACAATAATCATACAAGACAAATATTTCCACCAGTCTCATGCAATGGATACATTTCAAAAGAAATAACATACTTGTCATTTATTTAAAAGATATAAATATCAATGAATATCTCATGTCATATGCAATTCCTGAACCCAAACCATCCTTATATCCTCCTTATTTCCGCCGACTGGACCCATGGGCTAAGTTCTTTCCATTTGACTGGCAACTCTACAAGCTCACCACACGAATGATGTGGACCGGCCAAAGACCACAGAGCACTCGGTGGACCATGGGTCCCCCCTCGAAGAACTAGTGGGGTGTCGCAGTCCCTCGAAGAACTAGTGGGACAATAATAGCAGCCAACCATAGAGCTCCGTATGGAGGCTAATACCACGTGGCAAGTATATGAATCTCAATAACTCCAATTATCTCCTTTCCCCACCCAAAATAGATGCACAGGGTTCAACATGACACATTTATATGCATAATCAACAGAATTTCATAATAGCACATCATAATCATGATCACCAATTCTTGCAATACAAACTATGTCAATCCTTTTTAAAATAGCATCCCACAAGACAGTTCATACAAAACGTATATACTTTTATAGAATTAGTTATAAAGCCGCTCACCAACTTCATACTAGAGCATGCAACAGATAGAAATTTAGTTACCTGGTCTCCTAGCTATCATCAACTACAACCAGAGTCCAACCTCGAAAATGCCACAATAGAGTTTATATCTACAAACAAAATTAAAATATTATCTCTATAGTATTAGAGTAGGCTACTCACAAAATTCTAGCCTCTAACTCCTTCTCTAAAAGCTTTAATTTTACTCAGAACTCTAGCCTAAAAGACATTTCTCTAAGGTTTGGAATAAAGAACATATATATATGTGATTTAGACTCGATTCCTAAATTTCCTTACTTAAATATCCTTTAATATTAGATTATTTATTAGAATCATCAAATTCATAATGGAAATAGACAAACTATAAATTTATAACTTATATTCCATCTTCGAAAGACTTAGACAAATAGACTTAGTACGACCCAAGTTATTCTCACTACAGAAGTTAACCCATAATCTAACCGTTGAATTCAATTTCCTATCCATCATGATACTATCCTCCAAATTATAGCTCAATCTAACGGTGAATAAACTTTAAAATGCTAATTTACTATTCAGGACTCTATCTGCTAATATCAAAAGATATAAGTTAAAACGTACCTAATATTGTAACTCGGAGATCAAAAGGGTGATCCGACCGTTGAAATTAACGATTTGGATGTCCCAAATGGACCGACCAAATTTCAGTCCGATCCAACGGTTAATAAAATCAAAACTAGCACTTTTCTGAGACTACCTCAGATATGTGCGAAAAAATTGTTACTTACTCCAACTCCACTCACTAGCTCCTATATATAGGCTCCTCAAACTCCTTCACTCCAAAGATAGTCGATGTGGGACTTCTATACTATGGTTTAATTTTCTAGAATATCATCCACACATACACACAATCACATACAAAAACATTATAAAATAATAATAATAATAATTTGCCTATATCTAACTTCTTCTTTTTTTTTACTTAATACTAAAATATATTATTTATAAATTTAATTAAATACTAGATAAAATAAGGATGTCCAAGTTCAATTAAACTTTCTCAAGCATTTCCCGATTTGTGCGTGGCAATCTTGCGCAAGGGCCGTGCCAATCTTTGGAAGGGATAGGAACCGCACCCTCTCACTCAAAAAGGACAGCGTTTGATTCCCCGTCACGGTATTTGGAAAGACATCTTAAAAATAGAAGTGTCTAAATTAACACTTGAGAGTTTATTATGGGTTCACTCTACCTAATATTGATATCACTTAGGAGGAGCCATTTAAGCGTTTTATCCTTAACTAGGATTACGTTAAGCCCTGACTTACCTAAAATTTTTGCACCAAAAAAAATTCCAAAAAAAAAAGTATCATGTATTAAAATTTAACCCAAGCATACTAGCTTATTGGGAATAGTAGTACATTGGCTTTCTAGTCAAAAGTTTTGGATGGATTTGATTACGTTAAACTTTTTTCTTTTCTTGTTAAGTAACGACATTATTTTAAATTTATAATAAAATATTTATACTTTAATAACTCTGTTTTATTAGGTTATGTATAGTTTAAATGCGAATGCTTTATTTACTTGTGAATGAATGTCGGTTTATTTAAATATCATTTCTCAGAGTTATGTATAAATATTTTTATATATTTTAATTACAATTGGGCCGATCATAGCAGAATTACTTTTAGGCCACTAACTCTTTTTCTTTTTTTTAACCCAAGGTATTCACCATCAATAGTAGTAATTCTCTTACACTGAATACTTTAATTTCCTAATATGCTTTAGTACTGGCTACGAGATCCTCCTTATATAATTACGTACCAAATTCATTCATGTAAAAATACTCCGTGGGGTTGTACGAAATGTCTAAATTAAAATACCAATGCATCAGATGCCTACACGTAGCATTGATGTTAAACAAAACGCAAGTTGCCAAGATAAATTCCAAACATTCATAAATTTTGGCAAAATTTCACTGCATGCCAAGGACCAAAATGAAATTAAATTTTATGGACTGAAAAGATATTGATACTCCTTTTTTTTTTTTGGGAAAAAAATCGATCATCGCCACCTCTGGAGTTTCGGATGCTGGAGCTCTGGTTGTTGGCACTGGTGCTTGGGGTCCGCTGATGGTTGGAGCTTCAACAGCCGATGATAGTTGGATTTTTTTAATTAAAAATATGCAAGAATATCAATATTTTTTAGCCCTCAAAATTTAATTCATTTTGATTTTTGAAGGCAAATAGAAGGGTGTAGCGAAATTGTTCCAAATTTCAATGCCCACGCAAAACTTTGTCTCTCAAAAGATGGAGATTATTCCTACAAATACTCAGAAAAGTCTTGCATGAATGTTACTCCTCCGCTTCTCAATATAAAATATATTTAACTAATTTAATTAGATTAAGAAAGTTAGGTAAGTTAATTGATTATAAGAAATATGACATGTTTTTTCTAAAACACCATAATCATTTTTCTTAATAGCTTCCCTCCCTAGTTGAAGAAGAAGTATTCATAGGGGTAATTTAAGAAAAATTGATAAATATGAGAAATATGTTTTATATTTAAAGTCAAAATTAACTTAATGATTAGGTCTTATATTAAGAACTGGATGAGTACTTTAATTCCCAGAAAAAAAAAAAACAAAAGTTTGATGGAAAAAAATTTGTTACAATCGGTTCCCCCTTTCTTTTTTGGCATCCAACTCCATAATTATTTGCGGCAAAAGTCAAAACTTGAAACTTTTGGACACTTTAAGCACCTGAGGGAGATTATAAATTTAAACCCTTGTTGAATTGTTAAGTTGGGGGGAAAAAATGTGTGTCTTCCACAATAGAATCTGATAAGTGAGATTTCGAATAAGTGTTTACATAATCTTTTTCTGTCTGGAGAAATTATTCATCGAAATAATGAGTCACCATTATTTTCCCAGTAGTAATTCTAGGTACTATTGCTTGTAACGTAGGTTTAGCGGTTCTTGGTTCGGGCCGAAGAAGCAATGTCACTCGATCATTATCAAACTGACTGCAATCTTTTATGCAATCTTTTTCTAAAGAGGAACCGGGTGTTTTTTGAAGTTCAATCAGTAAAGTCGCTTTTTCTTTGGAAATCATGTTTCCAGATCAAGGTGGTCAGTTCAATGTTTCATTTGTAACCAAAGCAGTTCACGTATCCAATTATATCTTATTTCTTATACTTGATACCCTTGCTGCCCAAGAAAAGAAATAGTAGTACCAATCTACGTGATCACTTACATCAGCACTTGCTTCCACGTTGAATCACAATTTGGAGTATCAGAATCGAAGAGAAAAATCAACCTGCCGCGGGGTCCCACCACTTCCTAGGCATGTCGAGAAATTTCTTCGGTTAAAAAGACAAGCTTTCCGAACACAAGTAATCACAGCATAACCGGTCTTCTATATAAGCGCATAAAATCTCGAACTTCAAACCTAGAAATCAACAAATTTACAAACGTCGAACCAAGTCTTCATCGATCTGAAGGTTTGGTTTTGAAATTTCCATGGAGAAAACAACACACGTAGCCGTTGTTCCCAGTCCTGGATTTAGCCATCTGATTCCTGTTCTTGAGTTCTCCAAGCGACTTGTTTATCTTCACCCAGATTTTCATGTCACTTTCATCATCCCCTCACTAGAATCTCCTCCTCCTTCCTCCATAGCCTACCTTCAGAATCTTCCTTCAAACATCCAATCCATCTTTCTTCCTCCTATTTCCAAACAAGACCTGCCTAAAGATGCCAACATATCAGTCCAAATTCAACTCGCGATTTCCAAATCTTTGCCATCTTTACACCACGAATTGAAGTCGTTGAATTCCAAATCTCATTTGGCCGCCATAGTTGCAGACCCTTTTGCAGTTGAGGTATTAAGCTTCGCAAAGGAACTCAATACTTTGTCTTTCATTTACTTCCCTTCAGCTGCTTCAACTCTTTCCTTCTGCTTCTATCTCCCAACTCTCCACAAAGAGATTTCTGGTGAGTTCAGAGACATACCACAACCTATCCAGGTCCCAGGTTGTGTGTCCCACTCTATGGAAGAGATCTCCCTGACCCGGTTCAAAATCGGTCCAGTGAATCTTACACATCGTTTCTTCAACGAACCAAGAGATTGTTATCTGTTGATGGATTATTGGTTAACACCTTCACAGAGATGGAAGAAAGTGCTGTAAGAACCTTGACACAGAAACAAAGTGGTTATCCGTCTGTGTATACGATCGGACCCATCACTCAAACCGGGTCTAATGGTGAAGAAAATGGGTCAGAGTGTCTGAAGTGGTTGGAGAATCAACCACCTAGCTCTATTTTATACGTTTCTTTTGGAAGTGGTGGGACCTTATCTCAAGAACAAATCAATGAGCTAGCTTTTGGCTTGGAAAAGAGTGGGCAGAAATTCTTATGGGTTCTTAGAGCACCAAGTAACTCAGTGAGTTCTGCTTACCTTGGTTCTACAGATGAGAATCCTTTAGATTTCTTACCAAAAGGTTTCCTGGAGAGAACCCGAGAGCAAGGTTTTGTTATTCCTTCTTGGGCACCTCAGATTTCAATCCTTAGCCATAGTTCCATTGGTGGGTTTTTGAGTCATTGTGGTTGGAACTCCACACTTGAGAGTGTACAGAAGGGAGTGCCGATAATAGCGTGGCCACTTTTTGCAGAACAAAGAATGAATGCTGTTTTGTTAACTGATGGTCTAAAAGTTGCATTGAGGCCTAAAGTTAATGAACATGGCATGGTGAAAAGGGAAGAGATTGCTAAACTGGTAAAGATTTTGATGGAAGGTGAAGAAGGTAAGAAGATTCGCAAGAGAATGAAAAATTTAAAAGATGCTTCTGCTAATACAATTAAAGAAGACGGTTCTTCTACAAAAGCGCTGTCTGAGGTTGCACTCAAATGGAAAACTAATTTAAATGCAATGTAAGGAGGATTGAAATTTGTCAATTTTCTTTCCGTATTAGTTTTTTTGTGTTTGTTTATCAATTTTCATTTGTGAAAGTTCTTTTCTTTCTGTTTCAGTTTGGGGTATATTAGTAATCAATGATTTCTTTTCATGCTAAACTTATTTATACGGATATCTTATCATTTGTTCATTTTTAACTTTCAGATTATAATTGACTTCTTTCCCCCCAATTTTACATGCGATAGCTGGGGTTCGATATGTAAGAAAAACAATTTAACCCAAGAAAAGTTAAGGCAGAAAAATATATCCAAGTCTCGTCTTAACAGAGGCATTTCCAATATCATATACATACACACTCAAGTAATTGCGACTTGGAAAGAGACAAAAAATTGGGAATGATGATGAATGCAACAGAGTGAAATGATCGAGAGCCTGGCATGCCTCTAATGGGTGGAAGCTTAACAAATGTGAGTTAAATAGTAAGAGCAAGCAAGGGAAAAATGAAATACAACTTTATGAGATAAAAGAAGAAAACAAAGGTCTTGGTACCTTTTTTCCCCTAACATATATTACTTTTGAATCAAAGCAACAATCCAGAGAGACGTAGCAGATAGACGATTTTGGAAGCCAGGGAGCAAGGGTGAATTTACAGTAAGATCAGCTTATAAGCTGATCATGGAACCCAATGGGAGGATGAACAGACCTACTGGAACTTCGCGTGGAAATATAAGCAAGACCTCACAGAAACTACCGCTGCTAGCTTTTGATGTTTCTCTCTGGCTTTGCTTTTTCCTTTTACTCGTTGTAATCCCCAGTAAATATCTTCATCTTTTAATACAATTCCACATTCAAAAAGAAAAAAAAGCAGCTCTTCATTTAAGACAGGATGAAGGAGTGTGATTTTTAGTAGGTTACGTAGAAAGGAGTAAGTAAGAAAAATGGATTTGGATTTCCTCCTGTTCCTCTCAAAACCACATCTCTGTATTGGATTTTAAAAAAACGAGTGATTCAGATTTAATATTTTATAAAACTATTATTATATAGTGTTACGTAGAAAGGAGGGGGGGTAGACATCCATTTTCAAAGTATTGGATTTGAACCATTTATTTTTTATTGATTCTGAAATGAGAGAGAGGAATTCCAACTTTTGAAAGGATCCACATCTGGGAAAAGTGAGACTAAAGGAATATGCTATTATTATCCAGTGATGTGAAAACCGGACTAGACCGGATCGAACCGGACGGGATGGTCTGACCGGTCCGGCTGTCAACTGACGTGTTCAACGGTTTGACTCACATGATTAGACCGTTGATATTGTTAGGCCATTTTGAATCGTTCAGAACCGATATTTGAGCCAGAAACTAGAGTTTAGTCGGAAACCGGAGCGAGTATAGCAAAATCGGACGATCTGAACAATGAAAGAAGTTGAAGAAGATGATGAAGAAAGAGGGGTAGAAGAAGAAGAAAGAAAAAAATCTAAGAAAAAGAATAGAGAAAATAAAGGTCAAATTTCAGCAAATAACTAACTCAGACGTATTTCAATCACAAACTGAAATCCATCTTTGAAACGATCCGATAACAGTAAAATGAAAAACCTGCACCATAAAGATCGGCGCCGGCAAAAAGAAACACAGAAAGTTGAATGGCCAACGACTTCAATCACGAACGATAATGTTGCAACTTACAAGAGTGAGCTTCTTCTCTCACCACGTGGGTCCCTTTGATTTGATTTTAAAAATTAAAACGGAGCAGAAATAAAATTTCGATCAAAGGCTTAATGCCTCAAAGCACCAAAAGCTGTAAAAATAATTTAATATTATTGAATATCATTGATGTTAATAAAATAATTTTATTATTTTCTGCCTCCTAATAATTAAGTCTATGCTATTTTCTAAACAAATTAAGAAATATATATTAAATTTTTTATAATTTTTTCTCAATAAAGCTTACAGAATAATTTATAATTAAATGTTATAAATTATTAATTAAATTTTTATGTATCTAATTTTATTCTTTTGTTTATAAAAAATTTTTAGATATTAATTTATTGCTTATTGTAATGATAATTTGACATATTTGTTGTGATATTTAGAATTTAATGTTATATTTCTTATTCATATATTATTATATATACATAATATAGTTTTTAATTAATTATTACATTACTGGTTCGACTAACGATCCAATCAGTTGAACCACAAAAACCCATAACCCGCTGATCTTTCTGATTCAATCCGATTCGGCTTTTAAAACATTGTTATTATCCTCCATAGTTCTTTTATCTTCATCTCTTTAGTTGTATGTCACAATCTCAACTTTTGATTCATAAAAAATGAATTCATCCTTATCACCAAAAAAAAAAATTCATTCTCTGTTTTCCTCTGTTCATCTCTTTTACAAACCAGCTAATATTACACATACATTAATCTTCAACACTTACAAAATAACTAACAAAACCTCAAAGATTCATCTTAATATGGAAATCACATATTATATAATATTCAAACATCACTAATTCCCTCATGTCCTATCTCTCAAATCCATCGCAAACCGAGACAGGGTCTGTGCAGAGGACCCATCTTCTTTCAGTGCATTAGCAGCAGAATCCTTCAAGTTTCCCATTCTTTTACGGACCTCTCTTCTTCATCTTCCATGAATCTTATTATAACCTTAGCTATCTCATCTCTTTCCACCATTCCTCTCTGGCTAGGTTCTGGCCATAAAGCCACTTTCAAGTAATCTGTTAAAAAGGCTGCGTTCATCTTCTGTTCTGCAAACAGAGGCCAAGCTATTATTGGAACGCCATGAACGATACTCTCCATTGTGGAGTTCCAACCACAGTGACTTAAGAATCCACCAACAGAATTGTGACTAATGATTGGAATCTGAGGTGCCCAAGGAACAACAAGACCTTGATCTTTGGTTCTCTCTAGGAACCCATTTGGTACGAAATCTAAAGGGTTCTCACTTGAAGCAAGAGAAAGATAAGCTGCACTAACATCATTACTTGGAGGTCTCACAACCCACAAGAATTCTACCTTAGTTCTAACCCAAAGGCTAGTTCATTGAGTTGATCTTGGATAATGTTCCTCCACTCCCAAATGAAACATAAAGAACAGATTTTGGTGGTTGATTTTTCAGCCAGTTAAGCAAGCCAAGTTCGACACATTTGTCTGATTATTGGATCGACTTTGTATAATGGGTCCAACCGGATAAATCTGAGGCTTCTTTCCTTTGGTTTCTTCTTGCAAGGTTCCAATTGTCTCAGTTTCTAACTCTAAGAAACTGTTGAATAGAACACCGTCGATTAATCTTAGCTTCTTGGCACGTTCAAAGAATTGCTTGCGAACGAGGCCATCATAAAGTGAATCTACGATCTCTCGGCCCGAACTGGTATACAACGTGGTGGAACTTCTACGGATTCTGGTACGTCTCTGAATTCTGAATCTTCAAGCTTCATGGAGTTACAGAAGTAGACAGAGAACATAGCGCATAAGGCAGAATACATAATGTAAGATAAAACGTTGAACTCTGCAGCAAAATCTAGAGCTTCATCTGCGAAACAATCGGTAACCAAAGCAACAAGGGAAGATCTGGAGATTAAGGACTTCAATTCTTGACGAATATATGGTAAAGAGAGAGTGACTGTGAGCTGAACTTGAGCTCCAGGATGAACATTTTCTGGCATGTCGTGCTTGTGAACTGGAGGAAGAAGGATCGAATGAATGTTTGGAGGAAGAGTTGAAGTAAGATTCAGAGATGAAGAAGGAAGAAAGAGTTTCGAGAATTGGAATGATGCAAGTGATGTGAAGATCTGGGTGAAGTTGAAGGAGATGCTTTGAGAATTCGATTACTGGGAAAAGATGGGTGAACCCAGCACTGGAAATGAAGGCGACGTGAGGTGATTTCGCCATGGAAACTCCAATCAATAAGGTGGTGTGTAATATTTGGATTTGGTTCGTATGGTAAGTTATGGTTGCTCTGTTGTTCGTTTGGATGTGGTGGGTGGATTAATTTAATGGGTAATTTATAAATGAGTGATTGAGATTTAATATTTATAAAACTATTATTATATAGTATTACGTAGAAAGGAAGGGATAGAATGGAATTAAAAAAATAAATGGTTCAAATCCAATATTTTGAAAAATGGATGTCTATGCCCTCCTTTCCACGTAATACTATATAATAGTTTTATAAAATATTAAATCTCAATCACTTATTTTTTTAATCCATATAAGTTTCAAATAATTAATTTGTAAATAACAAACAATTAATTAAAATTAGTTAAGAGTTAAACCGATACTTTTATTTTTAAATATATCCTTATAATAAATAAGAAAAATGGTAGATGAGAATGTGTGGGAAAATGTGATAAGAGATATTATGACAGGAAGAGATATTAAATAATTTTAAAAAATTAGAAAAATGAATTAAATGTTAATACAAATAACAAATTGAAGCTTATAAACTGAAACATATTCTTTCTCAAATTTGAAACTTATAAATAGTACTAGAGGGAGTATTAATTTTTCCTTCTGAATTACACAATCCACAAATACCTCTTCTTTGTGCAATGACTCCTGAACATCTTAAAAAACTAGAATATCCTCCTTGTTATC